CCTAAAACCCTAAACCCACAACCCCAGGTCCCCCTTTTCTATGTCTCCTGCATCTCAAAGAGAAGCAGCATCGAACCGGCAGCCTGAGCAAACGCGCAGATTCAACGGAGATCCGACTTGCTATCATTTTTTTGTATATATAGTTTAATATTCTATTCTATTCTGTCATAATACTATAGTTACTATAGTTTAAATTGTATTTTGTTCTATTCTGCTATATTACCTGATAGTATTTTCTAAATTACTGAATCATTTTTACACCAGGTTACGTTAGATTACATTACATCATTACATGACTACTTTATAAATTTCTGGACCTGCAGACCCGATACATCTTCTAATCTTATATACCAAGCCAAGACTCGTTTAGGGGCTTCAGCTAACAGATTCGTCCCTCTTATATACCCGCCATCACCTCAACCAAGGAGCAGCTGACAAGTCAGTCTAGGGTCGGACGCTTTACTACCCAATAGCTCTGATCTTGCATAGGAGAAGTTGCGAATCTACCACCGGGGGGGGGGGGTCTTGTAAGCTCCTGTGAGTGGGGGCTTAAACCCCTCAACCAAGTGCAGCTTGCTGGCGCCGGCCGTCGGATCCAAGGTCAGAGGCCCTTTCCTTGCATACCCACGAAGCCCATGCGAGTGTAGGGGACTATGGTGGATTTATTGTGACGTACTATCATATAGTACAGTATGGTACAGCAGGAGCTGCATCCTCGATGCGCAGTGTGGGATTGCCCTTCCAAAACCTAGCCGTGACCTTGCCGCTGCCACAACCCCCGCGAGTGCTGCATGTCGTCTGCTGGACTCTTATGCGCCTGGCTGGGGCTTACTGTATAGGGTTTAGATGAAAGATGGGACCAGTTGACCATGCAAGCCAACATACGAATTCAGTGGTCTACATGAGCTTGCGCTTGTGGCTTTCCGTGCTTCCAAGCGGCAGCTCGATGCCATCGTGTCGCTGCAGATCGTGCACCTTCGACAGCCCGGCCCGATGCCGCCGAACAAGCAACAAGTGGAGGAAGTGAACATAATCAAGGGGTTTAGAGGTTTAGGGATTACGGTTTTTTGCCTCCCACCTTGCTAGGACTAGCCCGCATTGCAGGGTACATTAGGGTTTAGGGCTGCCGGGCCTTGCCACTGCCATCCGTAAGCTTGGCTGAGCCCTCAACGCAGAGCATGTAGCCTTGGCGTGGCACTGCGGAGGCACAGGCCAGGTATCGCAAAGGCAAAGCTGAAGCCAAGAAGCCCTGTCGCCCAGCATCCTCGGAGGCGTGGGATTGGGGTAGTTTTCTACATTAGGTATCCTTTTAGGGTCCTTGTTAATTATAAGGGTGCCGTACTATATTTGGGACCTAAAAGGGGGCCCTCCTTTAGAGAACTACCCATTTGCAGACTCAAGAGAGTAGTCGCCATAGGCAAAGCTCTTCGGACTGAGTTGACTGTGGCAACGATACCGACACCCTCAGTGAATCTCTGTATACATGACCTGGTCTCCCTGCTTCCTAAACCCCTGAGCCCTCGACGTAAGGTCCCAAACCCGCAACTAAAGGCTGAACTCGGATAGGTCACGAGGGCCAGCGCCGGAGGGCTTTTGGACGGGCTGAGTTCGGTCAGGAAGACATTGCCTAAGCCGGCAAATTGATCAGGGTTGGTTTTCGGCGTTTTTTCTCCCATGTGTTTCGACGCTCACACTCGCACCAGGCAGGCTTTCATGTGTTTAGGGTTTAGGGGTTTGGGATTCGGGTTGTTCAGATGGGTTGAGGGTGATTCGGGGTGTAGGCTTTAAGCCAGCCCTCCTGGAAAGAGTGGGGGCCCTTTAAGGCGACCGGCCACAAGGAAGCCTCGAGGTTGTCGAAAGGGAGCTCAATGATTAGGGTTTAGTTTGTTTTTAACCGGGCCTTTTCCCGCCTTGGGTTTAGGGTTTAGGGTGAGTCATACACCCATCGAAAGGGAGGCACGTCTCCAGAAGCCATAGGAAAGCCCCCAAAAGCCATAGCCCTCGAGCTTTGCTACTTCAGCAATAGCAAGAAGCCGCAATCTGGTTCTAGGTTTCCGGCAATCTTGTTGAATCTGCACTGCAGCCTTCGTAGGCCCCTCAGCATCTGAAACCACATGAGCCCACCTGGTCACAGGCACGCGCATCCAAAGCCCCCTGCCAGAGAAGATCAGCCATGCAAGTGCAACGTCAGCTGGTTGCCACGAATGCTGCCATGCGGCTGATCTCTCCTTGCTGCCTCCGCCTGGGCGTTGCCGGTGTGCGGGTGCACGTGCCACTACTCCAGACTGCCAAATTCCCAGATGAGAAACGAGATTGTCTTGGATCCAATTTTCACACACTGAACCAGTCTAGAAAGGATTCGAATGAAGCAGCGTGGTTCCAAAGCCTCAAGCCAGCAAAACCTTCCGATCTGTGCAAACTCCTCCCCGAAACCTAGATCGAACCCGGAACCCCAAAACGTCTGCCAAGCCCGAAACCTACGCCCTACTCACAGCATCTCACAGCACCAAGCCCGAACGCCCAAAGCCTCAACCATGAGTGAAAGCCCTGAGCTGCAAAGACTGGAGACGGAGAGGAAAATCCCAACTTCTTCTGGGTTCTTGTCAGGGGATTGAATTGAAGCTGCCATTATGGGAGTCTATAGTAAATAATATGTGTTCATTATTATGGTGACTTGAAAAAATTCCCCTAACAAGAACCCCGTCTTCTGCAATGCACCTCCCCTCCTCCGGACATCGACCCGTAGTTGGGGGGGAACCCCCTCCTGACAAGAGGCTTCAAGGTTGAGATCTCTCGGGTTTGGGGACAAAGCCCTATAGGGTTTTAGGGTTTAGGGTCTAGGGTTTTGGGTTTTAGAGTTTTAGGGGGTTAAGGTTTAGGGTTTTAGGGTTTTCGGGTTTTAGGGTTTAGGGTTTTACGCTCTCACAACTCGGACATGCCAGGCGAGGTTCAGGGTT